TAGTTCGATCCGCTGGTACACAGCTCGATTCGCTGGTGCAACGCTCGTATCCAGCGATTCGCTAGCGAATCGCTGATTCGTGAAGTCTGACATCGGCTTACGTGCAATGTGCAATGTCATACCACCTCGACACTGGCTGCTGAGCCAAATGGCTCACATGACTTCAGAAAGTTCCCTGCCGACTGGAAATCTCGATGTCCTACCCAAAAAAGAAACCTGGACGTATTGACCATTATTCGCTATAGTGATTCTATAGTGATAAGGTGAGAGTACCGAAATCATCATAGAGTCGTTAAGATTTGAAGAAATGTAGTCTATATGTCACACTCCTGAAGCCAGAATCGGCTCCAACCACAATTCGACATCGTCATGTTCTTGTTGGTTTCCCATAGTTCACTGGATTGACTTTAGCACATTGACCCACAAAGTAGACTGGGCGAGATGTTCTAACAAATCAACAAGTGACAGCAGCCTAGCTTTAACAATTTGGGAGTTCTAGCAGTGAAAGCCCAATTTCCTCCAAATTCTACCTTGAAGAAATGTTGAAGAAAATGAAAGTTGTTGAAGAAATGCGTGAGTGGCTTGAACTGGGAACCAACGCCCAACAATACCAGGGTCAAAGATAAAGGCAAACGTCTACAGCTTGATGGCGACCACGTCAGACTGAAAGCAGTGTGACCAAAAGTCTGGTTTTTTTCTGGGGTTGTTCGACTGAAACTTGCGAAAAAATTCATGGGATTTGGTAATTATTAGGCCCACAATTCTTTCAGCTCCATCGTGTAGCCCTGGTCTTGTGCAAAAGAATGTGCACCGACTTCCCTCTGTCCCTACTTCATGTTTTGAAGGAAAAATATTACTCCAACCTTACCATGATGACAAAATCATCATTTAATTTTGCTACGACCAGAACTCAATGGAATTCTTCTGTAAAAGAGGCATTATATACCTACCCTTGCATTGAAGATGTTCTGCTGTCAGCATTGGTGTGCATTCGGTTGAATAAGTATATCAGGAAATTGAAAAAGTAATAAAATCGAAAACATCCAAAGGATCTCAAAAATTACGTGACAACCTTATAAGTATTAAGTTGGCCCGTAATTTTTAGCAATACTTGTCCGCCGTTTTCGTTTCACTCATAAGTTTCATTAACAAACCAAACAAAAACAACAATAAATGCGTAATCAACAAACGCTCTCGAACAGTCCTCTCTGCAACCGTGCCTTCATCCCAGGCTTCATTGATTCTACGAGCAGATGCAGAAGCATTCGGTTTCGAGCTCAACTTGCACTCATGTAGCAGGGGCAATCTTTTTGCTAGTGTGTAAGCTCCATAGTGAAGTAAATACACAAGTGTTGTGCATCAAAATGTACAAGAGATTGAGTGCTCTTAGCACGCACCATAACCTTACATACCGCTGCTTTAGGCGTAAAGGTTTTTCAGCGCTGTAATACAAAGAACGCCTTCGCGCTCGGAGCTGACACTCTAGAATTTCGAAGAAAGGTGGCAGATCTCTCTTCGAATGTACAAACATACAACAAAGAAAAATTAAACCAAACCCGATCTTTCGAATACCACCTACTACTTCTACAGGCGAGACATGCGTTATCGATACGACCAGATACCAGTGCTTACGCTGGGTCATATCTGGTCATATCTTCTGCTTTTTGGACTACACTGGGACGCATAATTATAGTTCCACCTAGAAATTTCCCAAAAGCTTGAATCTGGTGATGTTTTTGGAAAAAGGCTCTACAGATAATTGTGACACATATAAACGCGAATCTGAATATTAACACGGAAATCCAGTTTGAGAAAGCAACAATTTTTTATCCTTATTTTTTCGAAAATATCCGCTTTAGCTTCTCCGCTGCATTTTGCTTTTACCCAATCAAAATTTGGAATTATTATCCATTCAAGTTCCTTAGCTTATAGCAAAGGCAAAACCGCTGTCACACTTCCGTAAAAGGGAAATCCTAGCAAAAGAGACGCAGGAATTGTCAAAGTGTCAGCTCCGCTGGAATTTGTTGGGATAAATTCATAACGAACAAATTTCTCAAGGATGCTACAGGATATGACTGGAGGAACCCTGATTACTACCCGACTAAGATAAGCGCCGTATCGTGAGAAAATAATATCCAGCCGGGTACTGAAATTGTAGATGGAACTATAATTATGCGTCGCAGTACGAAGCCCAATTTCTTCATGTGGAAGCGATCATACACTCTTCAGAACCATATAGCTAATCTCATTAAGGAGCAAGGAGATTTTTCGGCAAATTCGACAACAATACGGCGGTTCTCTGGTACGTCAACCGAAACGATGGCGCAGTGCGAGTGATTCGGCCTTCTCCCATTCCGTGTGATCGGAACTGTGTGGTTGCAATAATCCGTCCCGCAGTCAGAATTTTCGGAATATGGCAAATGTATTAATTCAACGAATTCTAATCCCCTGATTTCCTGCGCCTATTGAGTCGACTTCATAAAGAGGTATTCGTAAGTGCAAGTGTTTTTGATCAGAAAACCATAGCAGTACACTGTAATGCATTTCAGCACACGCGTCAAGCGCATACTGTCTTCCGCATACTTGCGTACTGTCTTATAACCATATCTTCAGCATTAATTTGTTTTACAATCGCTGCTGTGGCATATTTTCTCTAATTCGCTTTCATTTTTTCTTTTTTTTATCAAGTAACGACCTATAGCTTTTTAAACCCCTTAGCAGCCGCATGCTGATATTGCGTGGACTTCGGAGGGTTGGTCGTATAACTAAAGTTGTATTCCGGAAGTCACGTTGTGAGCAACGACTCAGTGTTGTGCCATGCCTTCCTCACCTCCCCCCCTCTACCATCGCAGCTAGTCCTAAGCTTTTTGAATTTGTTGCTTATCCAAAGTTCATGGCATATACTGTGTGATCCTTTGGAAATTTTTATTTTCAACATTTGTAATTACTACATATGTATCAGTTGTGATAGCCGGTAACATCCCGACTTAGTATCACATTCATTACGAGTTCAATCATACTTTTTTCTATTAGTTTATTGCCAACTATATAAATTATGCTCATTCAACGCTTTTTCCTCCCTTCCTTACTGAAGAGCACGGAGGGAGGGTATTTTTTTCCAGTTTGGCTTCCGTCTAAGGGCACGTGCGAAACGGAAGTCGAACTAATTCTTTGATTATTCCCCCTAAAAATTTCTAATTTCTATGTTTTTACTCAAACCTAACTACATATTTTATTCGTTATCAGTATCATAAGTATCATTGACTTTAACCAATATCATCCCCTACATGTATAAGGGGGGGGGGCAATAAAAAAAGACATTTTGTCTCCACTTCCAGATGGATTTAAGCACACTTTGCTCAATTCAGACCGAATGGTTCCCAACTTATTATTAAAGAGCGCATTTCATTCTATAAGAAAATCTTCATAGTGGCCACCTACGTGGACGGCATCAGAAGAATTTGCCCTGGAAACATGGTGCACTGGTCGAGCTCAATGGGGTCTTCGAAGGATCGTGTACCATAACGACCTTTACTGGAAAGCTAGTTTCGAGGGGATTTGCATAGTGGAGCTAATGCCTCTAGAAAACTATCCAACATTGAATCGATTCACGAAATTATGTAAGAGCTTCAGGCTGAAGCAGTTACGGTAGGCCTCCTTGAGCTTGACGACGGTGACAGATGACGTCATATTCTGAAGACGGTGAGGGCAGTGAAGGAGGGCCTGCGTCTACTTATAGAGGGACATTTAGGGAATATTTTGCTGAGGAACTTCCGTCAACGACGGCAATCTCTGCGAAGAAAAAAGGCCGAAGTGCGACATGGGCAAAATGTCTTTTTTTTGCCCCCCCCCCTGTATATTTATTTATTCACCTCCTACCTTTACTATTGTTTACTTTTGCTCAATTTTATTATTATATTCATGTGCCTTAATTGTCAACAATAGCTAAATAAAAAATAAAACTTTCAAAAATAACCAGCAAAAAACCAAAAAAACCATGAGCCTGAAAAAAGGAAGGAGTTACTATCGCTCAAGCTAATAACCTTGAAATTTCCGAATTCATCAAACATTTCAGCCCTTTCGAAAGCCTCAGAAGTAATGAAGAAATGCGTGTCATATACTACTACGCAAGATTACAGTGGCATGCATCAACGTGAAAAATTAAAGGAATTAAAGGCAAGCCCCGGGATTACCCCGGCTAGTAGGAGGGATTCCACGGGGGAAATTGTAAGGTCCGTACGTAACTGGATCACTCCAGCTTCGTCGCGGTGCATTGATGAGAGATCAGCGTGCTCTCTCAAACGACGTGCTCTCTCGCGTATTTTGTCTTCTTTGACCGCCCTTTCTCGCCATCGTACCACATCCGACCCTATTGAAGGTTAAGGCCTTAATTTCAGCGTTCCCAAGATTTCTCTTGCTTTCCTTTCCACTTTCAGGTCGTTCCGCAGCTAAGCTATCACCACAAAGCGCTGATAGCACCTGTTCAATCCCGAGTTTGCCTTGCAGTGGTTTGTTGTCTTATACCTTTGGGATGAGCCATACGATCGTTCATGACCATTCAAGATCATAAATACATTTGAATCAGTAAGAGCTTTGCACAGTGGCTGAGACAATTTTATTTTCTTCAGTCCTTCAGTATATTAGATATGATCCTTAGGCGCCTGATCAGGCACTGAAGGGAGTGGAATGCCTGAAGGGGTTCTGTGCGCCAACATGCGTGTTAATTGCACTCTTGGATGTTCTTGATTCCACGCAATTCATGAATGCTTAGCCTTGATATTACTAGCCATGTACTGGCAAACGAGGAAATGCGATGGAGGAGTCCTTTTTCGATACATTATACGAAGTTATACGACGCGCATCTACAACTCCGTGTCTATCTACCTTCTAGGCCGTAGGCAACTTTTTTTAATGCACGGACGGAGTTAGATAAGTATTTCATAACTTAGTGCTTATTATTATTTGTATAAAATGAAACCAAATCCGAGAACACAAGCAAATTAAAATCGAGGTTTTTGCGGTGCGATTCCCATATGTTTACAGATGATCGAGAGCATGACTTCATCAGCTCCAGCTCCAACTGAGTGCAGGCGGAGGTCACGGTGCATTCGGCACACTGGATTGTCCCACGTGAATCCATTGCCACCCCAGAACTGGAAAAAATGCTGTCAGTGAGGGAATTGGCCAACACTGTCCTCCCCCTCATGAGAGCTCCGCTTGTGACGTACCTGTAGGCAACTATCAGTGACAACTCTGGCCAGTCGTCCGGCTTTCAGTTTCGTCATGGAGGCTAGCAAAGTGACGTCATCGGCAGATGAGAAGTCTTCGAATGAAAGACTGCCCTGAAACGGTTCCGTCGGCAGCGAAATGGTGTAAAGAAGAAAGAAGTATGGAGGACTAGCTGTGTCTTGGGATGTCCCAGAATAAAGCAGGACACGCCACGCGAAAATTTTCCATTCGAATTCACAGCAGTTTTTGAAGGGGCGAGATTCTACGATGAATTGTGGGATCAGCTGATGTTCACTTTAGCCAGTTTTTGCTGGCCAATTGCTGCTTGTTTCCGTACTTTGCGTCGCTTAGCCCCGAGTTTGCTGATTTCCTGTGAACTGGACCCCGGCTTTTGTTCCTAATACAGGGCTTTTTTGTCCCCGAGATTCAGCCAACTTCCTTTTTTGAATACATTATCTGACGTTCTTCAATTCGATCAAGCGAGTTTCGCACTATTCACGACAACCAGCTTACCCACAAGCATAGCGCTGCTTGATAAGTTGCGAGGGTGTGAATGCACTGAACGCGAAAGCGATTGCAGAGCCTTAATTCATTGCGCTCACTGAGCACAGTCACTCACCTGTAGAGAAGGGCTCGAACGGCTTCAACTTCTGACTGAAGTTCTGCCAGCGTGAAGTGTACGGTCTGTAAATTGATGCATTACAAGTATATGGTTGGCGCCTCCAAAACAGCGTAACAGCGCGTAATAACTTCAATGAAGTCGCAAACACGAAGAACTATTGCAAGAGCTTCAACGAATCTTTCTGTAACATTTTCAAATACCGTGAGTGGGATGAATGGCGTCCGCTCTGGCACACAACGCACCTAACCGAATCTCGCTAACTACAGTTCACTGAGTTTCGTCATTCCTCGCCAAAAGTAATTTTGTATCAGATTCTTGTTGCGAGAAGGGAAGCTCAGCTATGTAGTTGGGGATCGGTTAGCCCTTTGATGGGATTTTGTGAGGAGAGGAGACCTTTGAGGATCCTTTGGTTGATCCGGATGGTAAACTCCTTTGTTCTTCCAAAGGCACGTGGCGTTCACTTCAAGGCCGCGGCTGTAGTACATTCGCTAATGCTAAATGTGAGTAACCTGCTGAATCAAGGAACGGATGCTAGGGCCGAAAACTTTTCCGCTGCGTGATCGACCATACTTTGGCGTGAGAGGCAATCACCGTTGAAGAGGCTCCAGCACTGGAAAAATATTTTCTTTTGTGAAAACGCGACCACAGTTCAACCCGGTAAGAATCACAAGCGCGTCTACAACAAAAGAGCAGGGGGCAGCCGCACGGGATCGTTCATCTTGGAATTGTAGCATCTGATAGAAGAATCCACGACCCTCTTCGCCAATGATACAGCTAGCCGGTACCTAATAAAAATAAAAAGCGAATTCAAGCAAATTCAAGTATTGACATATGTTTTGTAGCTATCAAGTGGCTGGAGGAACCAGTACCTATTCTAGCAAGTGAACAAAAAGATGTAAACAATGGTGATGGAATCCAGGCTCATGTTCGTTCACGAATCTCACTATATGGGTTCGTACACATTAGCACTCGAATGTCTTCAGCGACACACTCAGTCACTCCTTTTTTGCTGCAGGACCAAATTATACGCTTAGCTACAGGACTTACTGGCCCTTTCCCGGAAAATGTCAAATTGTCGGAAACACAGGTTAGGGCGTAGCTGCGCAAGTAAACAGTGGCTGCATCTCAGGTTACGAAGTTATATCGTATTTAGATCAAAGAGGTGTCTCTTCGCCCGCCCTGGTAGGTCAGCAACCTCGTAGTAGAGTTATCTTCGATGTTCTAACTTGATGGCTTTTGACAAAGCTCCTTTATTGCATCAATTTCGAAATAGGAGTTTAAGAAACAGCGTAGTGTGATTCTGAATACAGGGAAAACTCAAAAAAACCTTACAGCAGGCTCCTTTTTGTTGTCCCTTCACAGATACATATGCCATCGCTTGTAACCACCTCAAGGGCAATTCTGACTGCAGTGAGATGATGGCCTCCCTCAAACTATGGATGATCCGTCTATCAGAAGCTTATTTTGGAAGGGGCCTTCGATTCCCTTGAAATGGCACCGAACGTTACTCCAGATTGCTTCACTTTCAGAGAGAGTGTCGAAGAGCACATTAGTGGAGTTCTGCCCGCTTGGTCAAGTTTCAAGTGTACAACAAACAATTCTGAGCAAAAAGGGAAACAAAAAACAAAAAATTCAGATAGTCTCACCCTAGAAATGGGGCAAACCAGTGGTGTTACTATGTAAATTTCACCCCAATGTTGTGAAATATTTCTGACTATGAGACCATATAAAATGAAAATTCTTCACAATTCAATCTACTAGAAAGGATGCACATTGGCACAGAAGGTGTTCTTCCCAAAGGCTATTGAGCGTTACTGCACGCCTCAATTATTAGTTGGATCAACGTACTTGAAGATAGTGATCACGGCTGGAGCGTGGTGTGGTTTTGATAACTCATTAAAAGTCCCTGATTAAACTAGTCCAATCATCGTGCTGGGAGGTGGGGTTAAGACCTCCCATCAACTCCTTCAATAACGTGACGAAAACCGCACCGCCCTGCAGTCATCGTGATCTTTGCTTTTGAAGAATGTATCGAGTACCTCAGTGTGCATCAAATATAAATAACAAGCACTTCAGAAGTGTTCTGTCCCGAAGTCTCATGTTTATCTATTATAAATGTGGAATAAACAATATGAGTTTTCAAATAATTATTGCAAAAGAAAGATAAGGAATCTTTTGCTATATAATTATTTGAAGTCTCACATTGTTTATTACACATTTAAACGACAAACAAGTAGAAGTAAGAACTTGGCCGTTGGCGAGTCCCCGAGCCTTGAATTTTGAACTTTCGCATTTTTAGTTCCTTTATCTATCTCCAAACGGTGTTACCCTGACGTTGTCGAAGAAGATTTCAGCCGTGTCGGAACTGTGCATTCCGAGTTTCTTCAGATTCGCTGATCGGTGCACTCCTGAATATTTAGAGATCTGAAATCTGTCAAATTCTGGAAGTGCTCTCCTACAGGAAGGATACTGCGAGGGAAGCTTGCAGTGTCCTTCCCTACAGAAAGCGTACCACACGCCGCACAAAATGCGCGGTTAACTAATCGTTAAGGTGCTGCAACCATCGGCCCTTATTGCAACGCTTCCCACCCACCCGCCATTGATGTGGAGATCAGCGCGCTCTCGAACGGAATGCTCTCTCGCGTGTTCTGTCTTCTCTGATCGTTTTCTCGCCCTCGTACTACATCCGATCTTACTGAAGGTCAAGGCCTTGATTTCACGTTTCCTGTGAACTCTCTTGTTTTTCTTTCTCCCTTTTAGTCCATTCGCACTTCATCCATCAATATTGTGCGCTCTTATACATCAGTTTTATTCCGGGCTTGCCTTTAAGTAGTTCTTCTCCTCACTTCAATATTATTTCATCTCTTCTTCATTTA